GGGAGGCGGGGTCCGGGAGGAGGGGTGGGCAGGGAGATGCAGACACCCGGAGTCAGAGAGGCACAGGACACGGGAAGACCTGGGGATGGGCGGCCGCCGGGAGCGCCTGGGGGGGGTCGTCGTCCCTGAGTCCCCGCTGCCTGGGTGCCCAGTACTGGGATCCCCGCCCCCCGTCCGGACCCCTCCCCTCTCTCCCTCTGCTCCACATCCCCTCCTCCTCTTGCCTGCCTTCCACATCCCTACCTCAAACCGACTCCTCAACCCCAGGTATTCCTAGGATCCCCTCCCTTTGCACACCACCCGGACTGTGCGTGTGCCCAGCCTCTCTCTCTCTCTCTCTCTCTCTCTCTCTCTCTCTCTCTCTCGATACCCACCGCGCACCCTCAGCCCCCCTCTGCCGCCACCTGCAAACCCCCTCCAGCCCCCAGTTTCCCGAGGTTAGATCTTCTCTTCCTGGGTCTTACCCTTCTGTGGGTTTCTGTCCTCCCCCTTTCTCTCTCCTCTCTCTCTCTCTCTCTCTCTCTCTCTCTCGTTCTCTCTTGGCTTCTCAATCTCTGAACCCCACTTCTCTGGGATCTGTGCCCCTCTTGTATCTGTTTCCCCCCAGCCCGCTCCCCCTCTGGGTCTCTGCCCCCTCTCTGTCTCTTACCCCTTCTCTCTGGGTCTCTGTGCCCCTCTCCCTGGGTCTCTCTCCTTTCTCTGGGCCTCTCCCCCCACCAACCTCCCAAAACTCTTTCCCTGCCCCCCCGCCGCCCTCTCCATCTCTCATTCCCTGCTGCCATACGTTGGCCCCACCCAGCCAACCCAGCCCTAGCCTCCGTCCCCAGCTGGCAGGCTGTGGAGGGTGGGCCCAGTGCTATGCAGGTACTGTAAGGTTCCCAGGAGCCCAAGGGACCGAGTGGGGCCTGCTCTGGAAACCTTTCTCAAGTTGGCTCCCCTGATCTCTGTCTGTACGTCTCTCAGGTCCTAGGTTGGTGCTCGGGCGGGGGCACAGCCCTGGCCCTTTGCTACTGAGCATGCATGGTGCAGGGAGGGAGGAGATTGGGGTGAGGGGCCCCCTTCCTCTACAGCTGTGGGGGAGGAAAGTGCCTGTGTGTGTAAGGGGCTGCGGGAGGACTGTGTCTGTGGGGGGGGGGGTCACATGTGTGCTTCCAGACTCCACCGCTGGGTGAGGGTGTGTTTGCACATATGTGTGTGTGCACCCACGAGGATGCATGACCGTGGGCTGGGATGTGCATGGTTGTGTGTCCATGTAGAGGTGGCTTAGGCAGGCCCCTGGTTGTGTTCTGGAGCTGTGTGTGCTCCCAGTGCGTCACAATGTCTGAGATTGTGTCTCGGTCTTGTGTACTGTGAGTGGAAGTGCCCAGAAGTGCACAGCTGTGTGTCCACATGGAGCTGTGTGCATGTGTGTTGGGAGGAGGCTACAGGTGCGCCACCAGGATGACATTGGGTGTCCTTGTGTGTTGTGTCTGCACACCATGTGGGTGTCCTGTGTTCTCTGTCATTGTGTGTATATAATGTTGCGTGTCTTTGTGTTATTTTGTGTGAGGCAAGGGAAGACTCGGCCCCCCCCCCGTATCCTTGTGCCTAGACAGGTCACTGTGTCCCTAGGTGTGTGTCCTCCTCCCTTCAGGAGGTGTAAGGCGGGGGCAGGAGGCCATGGCTCCCTCCACTGGTAGATGTGCCATGTGTATTGTGTCTGGGTGTGTCCCTGGGTTTGAGGGGATAGGTGCCACAGCCCCCACTCCCCAGAGTTGTCAATGGTGTGAAGTTGTGTCTCCCCGGGCATGTGCATGTGTGTGCAGTTGGAGGGGACAATGGGACTCTGTTAGCAGAGGGAAGAATTGTGTCCATGGAGCTCAGCTGGAGGCTTGGCACAGAATGGGGACTGAGTGGGCAAACTGCTAGCCCATACAGCGCTTTATGCAAATGAGACAAAGGTACCCCCTGGCCCAACGTAGCTTCCCTGTGTCTATGCTTTGGCAGGCAGATGGCAACTTTGTGTGAGTTCTAAAGGGTGCCCCTTCCCCCAGATGGATGCAGTCCCACCAGTACGCCTTAAGGAGGAGAGCCTGGCTGGATTCCAGCCTCTCAACCAGATCTCCTTGTGCAGTGCCCAACCTGCCCAACCGTATGTGGCAGCCCTCAGTGAATGAAGAAATCCACATCACTGCATGCATGTGGATTCACTGGTGAAAGGTGTGTGTCTGTATGCATGTCAACCCACGTTTCTCTGCATGGGATAAAGGTTCTACAGGTGGCAGTGCCCTGAGACCTGAGTGCAGAGCCCAGCTCCAGTGCTTGGGCACTGTAAGGCTTAGGCTAATGATGGGACCTCTGAGAACCTCAGTGCTTTCATCTGAATCGTGTGTGTATGAGAGAGAGAGAGAGACAGAAAGGGAAAGAGAGAAGACCCACTTCTCACACTTCCTTTCAACATTCATCCGTGCAATAAATATTTCTGGAATACCTCCTGTGTCAGGCACTGATACTGGGTGCTGTGGACACCACGGTGAACAAGCCAGACAAAAAAGTCTGCCTTGATGGAGTTTATGGTCTAGTGGGGGAGACAGACAGTAAGTCCCTCACGTACGATGTGGCAAGTAGAGATGGAAGCTGTGACAACACAGAAAGCAGGAGTGGGGACCAGAGCAGTGGGAGGTGCTGCTTTGGACAGCACAGGGAAGGTCAGTGAGATGACCCGTGAGGGACACCTGAGGGAAGGAGCGGGGGGCACAGACCAATATCCGCAGCAAGGGGACGGCCCAGGCAAAAGGAGCGGCAGATGCAAAGGCAGGAAGAAGGGGCCCTCTTGGGCATGGGACCTGGAAAGGCATGAGGGTGGAAAGGGACAAGGGTTTTCATGTTATCCCAGGTGTGACAGGAAGCCAGCGGACAGTTTCAGCAGGGGAGGGCTTGATGTCATCTGACCTATGTTGGTGTTTTTTTGTTTGTTTCTTAAAATTGTGGTAAAAGACACCTAACTCAAAATTTACCATTTTAGCTATTTTTAAACTGTTTTTCAGTGTTGAGTTCAATGATACTTAGGACATTCATCATGTCGTGCAACTGTCACAACTGTCTCATGCAGAATATGTTCATCACCCCAAAGCAGTCACTCCCCGTTCTTCCCCTCCCCCAGCTCCAGGCAACCACTAATCAGTTGTCTGGCTTTATAGCTTTGACTACTGTGGATATTTCAGATAAATGGGACCATACAGTATATGACCTTTTGTGTCTGGCTTCTTTCACATGATGTTTGGAGGTTCATCCATGATGCAGCATATCAGTGCTCCCTTCTTTAAGGCTAAGTAATATTTCGTTCTCTGCATAGACCACATTGTGTTTATCTGTTCCTCTGTTGATGGCCCTTTGGGTGGTCTCCACTTTGGGGATATTACGAATAGTGCTGCTATCAACATTCGTGTGTAAGTTTTTGTGTGAACATACATTTTCAGTTCTTAGGAGTGGAACTGCCGGGTCATGTGATAACTCTGTTTAACTTTTGAGGAACCACCAAACACGGCGGTCCACAGCGTGGGCCAAGCCCCTTCTTAGATGCCTATGAAACACTGAGTGGGGGGTTCTAGCCCAGAGTGCAAGGGAGGGCCTGGAGCTGAAGCTCAAAGGAGAGTTGAGGCCCCAGGTGGGAGGGGGACCAGCTGGCTGAGGGGTGGGGAGCCTCAGCTCCCAGGACCCTCTCTCCACCGCAGCCCGTACGACTTCTGGGGGTGACAGTGTGGTCCCCAGATACGCACGCACGCAATGGAAAGGGCCATAAAAGTACTACCTGATGATGCTCATCGGACTAGTCCTATCCACGCTGCCATCCCCTTAAGCTGCTTTCATTTAGCCATGACTTCCTTCAAGATTTAATATTTCTTCACAACAGTGTTCCGCATGCTTCACACTGGCTTCTGTCTGCGCACTAGCCCTCTCCCGTCGCTGGAACGTAAGCCCCACAGAGGCGGGGACCCCGTGGATCAGTCACCGCTGCATCCTCAGGGCTCAGTCCACGCGGCCCGCAGCGTCTGTGCTGGGCCGACCCGCCCCTCCGGCCCCTCCCTCCGCACCTGCGCCACGGCCCCGTCCGCCCTGCGCCGCCCTCCGCCAACAGCGGCTGCGGCAAACACCTGAGCGCCCGTGTGCAGTCTGCCGCTCGGCAACAGGCCCGGCTGCTCCGGGCTCCTTACACAGGTTAACCCCGCTCATCCTCGTAACCACCCCCTGATAACCATCCTTACCCCCATTTTACACATGGGAAAACCGAGGCACGGGACGCTTAGGTAAGAGCCTGTGCAGTGTCAGGCAGCTGGCACATGGTGGAGCTGTGCCACCCTGCCTCTCCTGCTGGGGGCTGAGACCCTTCAGACCCGCAACTGTGACAGTGTGTGTGTGTGTGCGCGCATGTGTGCGTGTGTGTCTGTGTTGCATGTGTGTGCATGTGTGCCTGTGTCTGTGCGTGCGCGCGCGCGTGTGTGTGAGAGAGAGACACACAGAGAGGGCGGATGAGGGAGAAAGGGAGCGGGAGAGAGACAGAAGCTAGAGACCCCTGGATTACCAGACCTAAATAAAAGAGAAGTAAGCCTCTGGGGCCGCTGAGCACCATGCCGGTCTACGCACGCCATTCTCAACCGGGCACAGTTGTGCCCCCAGGGGGACGTTTGGCAGTGCCTGCAGGTATCTTAGGCTGGCAGCATGTGGAGAATACGAATTCTCCTGGCACGTGGTGGCCGGTGCTCCACACCGGGCAGCACGCAGAACGGGGCCCAGAGAGTGGAGCCCAGGTTGAGAAGCCCTGCACCACCTGGTTCCACGTGCCTAGTCGGCCAACTCCGATTCTCAACCCCGATCTCTCTCCCTCTTCCCCCACCCACACCTCTCTCTATCCCTCCCCATCTCGCCCCCCCCGAACATGTTCCCATCCCCTCCCCCACCCCCACTGACCCACCCCACCGTCCTCACCGCCCCTCTGCCCTCCCTCCTTCGCTCCCCCGCATGCTTTCTCCCCACATCCTATCTTGCTTCTGGTGTTTTTGCCCGTCCTTTATTTGTGCTCACCCCTCTGATATCTCCGCCGACCTTCGCAACCTCTCCTCCCGCCTTCTCGCTCACCGTGATCCTTTCCCCGTCTGCGCGTTACCGTTTCCATCCTCCTGCGGCCGCGTCTGGGCGTATCTCCGTCCCCCCGCCGACGCCGTCCACTGTCCACTGCCCTGTGCGACGGCTCACGTTGGGCCCATGCATCGCGCGCTCCTACACCCTTTCGCTCTCCCGGTGCTTGTCTTCCTCCATCCTTCTACCTTCCCTCGCCCGCCTTCCTCACCCTGTCCGGCCACCCATCCCCACATCTCTGCACCTCTGGCCATCTGTCCCGCGCCCACAGCTCCCGCCTTGTTTCTCCCCGCAGCCTGGCGGCCCCGTCCGACCTCCTGCGCGCCCCATGCCGTCCCTCCTGCTCCTCGGGACCCTCCTGCTCCTGGCCTCGACCCCCCGCCAGGCTGGGGCGCGCCCGTCCAACGCCACAAGTGCCGAGCCCCCCGGCCCGCTGCCCGCCCTGCTGGCGCACCTGCGGCGCCTGACCGGGGCGCTGACCGGCGGCGGGGGCACAGCGGGCCCGGGCGCCAACGGCACCAGGACCAGCCCCGCGAGCGGGACAGGCGCGGCGGCGCGGGCGCCCCCTCCCGCCGAGCTCTGCCATGGCTACTACGACGTCATGGGCCAGTACGACGCCACCTTCAACTGCAGCACGGGCTCCTACCGCTTCTGCTGCGGCACCTGCCACTACCGCTTCTGCTGCGAGCATCGCCACATGCGCCTGGCGCAGGCCTCCTGCTCCAACTACGACACGCCGCGCTGGGCCACCACGCCGCCGCCGCTGGCCGGGGGCGTCGGGGGTGCTGGGGGTGTGGGCGGGGGGCCCGGGCCCGGCCAGGCGGGGTGGCTGGAAGGGGGCCGGGCGGGGGGTGCAGGGGGGCGCGGGGGCGAGGGCCCCGGGGGCAGCACGGCCTACGTGGTGTGCGGGGTCATCAGCTTCGCCCTGGCGGTGGGCGTCGGCGCCAAAGTGGCCTTCAGCAAGGCGTCCCGTGCGCCCAGGGCGCATCGGGAGATCAACGTGCCCAGGTACGTGAGCGCTGGGACCCTAGCTGAGTGGGGCCTGGGGGCGGGGCCTGGGCAGTGAGACGTGGAGCCAGCTGGTGAGGGCGTGGCTACAGGGGTGCCTGTACAGGTTCAGAGACGCAGGAGGCTTCCACCGCGAGCCTAGGCGCGTAAGCCTAGGGATATGGGCGGGCCCTAGGGATAGGCGACCGAACGGGCCTGGCTGCGGAGTGACGGGTGAGGCTCAGGCCTTCATTCGTCCAACAAGTTATTTTTTGAGCACTTTCTGTGGTCAGCAGCTGGGGATACAGCAGTGAAAAAACAAGATCCCTGCCCTGCTGGGTAAACCCGACTTCCAACCCCAGGTCTGCTGCCTGCGGTCTGCGTGACCCTGGGCCTGTCCCTCCGTTTGCTTGCCTGTAAAATGGGCCTAATAACTGTTCCCCATCCATTCAGACTGTAACGAAGATTAACTGAACTGATTCATGTCGAGTCTTGGCACATGGTAAGCCCTCAATAAATGTTGGCTGCCATTATCATTAAACGTTAGTGGTGGAGAGAGTACGCAAGCAACCACATATGCAATATAAATTTAGGTATTGATAACCGCTGTGAAGAAAAGAAAGCAGCATAACAGGTAGAGAGTGGGGGCCGAAGGTGTTGCTTTATGCGAAGAGGTCAGGAAAGGGCCCTGGAGCAGAGACCTGAGGGGAAGGAGCAAGCCAAGCAGGGATCTGTGGGAAGGGCAGTCCAGGCAGAGGGAACAGCGAGTGCAAGGGCCCTGGTGGGAGTACTTGCAGGACAGTGAAGGGGCCCATGAAGCTACAGAGCAGTGGGCGTGGAGCAGATTTATTCTGAGAGTGATGGGGGAGCCTCTAGAGAGCCCTGAGCTCCGGCGCGAAGCCATCGGATAATTTCAAGAGTCCCCGGGCTGCATGTGTGCGGCCGGACTGCAGGGGATAGGGGTGGAAGCGGGAGACCGGTTAGGACACTAGCAATGAGCCACGTGAGAGCAGGTACCGGGAGCAGCACTGGTGGTGAGAAGTGTCCCGCCGGGGATTTATTTTGGAGGTCGAATCTGCAAGACTGCTGAGGAGCATGAAAGAACAACAGGAGTCAGGGGTGATTCTAAGGTTTTCGGTCGCATAGCCGGACGAATGGAGCACACTTTATCACCATGGGACGGCTGTAAAAGGAACGGGAGTGAGGTCCCAAGTTCAGGGTGGGGCAGGTGCCCAGGGGGGACGATGTGGGAAGGACCACAGGGGGGTTGGGTCCAAATGAATTGAGGAAGGGGCTGTTTCAAGCAAGAAATGCGGTGGGAGGAACCTTAGGGTGGGCGGCGCTCAGATTGACATTAGCGATGGGCGTGGCCAAAGGCAAGGAGCCCGGGGCGAACTGACAGACTCCCCCAGAGGGAGAACAGGGAGGGAAAGAATCCCGGGCCCTCCCTCTCCCTGCCCCCACCCCCGTCCCCAGGCCGCTGACCGTCGCTCTGCCACCTCTAGGGCTCTGGTGGACATTCTGAGGCATCAGGCGGGGCCTGGGACCCGCCCGGACCGGGCACGAAGCAGCTCCTTGACCCCAGGGGTTGGAGGCCCCGACAGCATTCCCCCGAGGACGCCCAAGAACCTCTACAACACCGTGAAGCCCTCCAATCTTGGTGAGTGGGACCTGGGAGCTGGGGCGGCTGCTGCTGCCTCTGGTCACTCCCACCATCCCTGTAGCCCCGCCCTCCCATATAGCCCCGCCTCCCCGCTGCCAAGGCCCCGCCCCCAGTCCTCCAGCCCCGCCCTCCCCGGATAGCCCCACCTCCCGCTGCCCAGGCCCTGCCCCTGGTCCCATCCACCGGCCTCAGCCATCTCTGAACCATTACGGGTGGGTGCCATGGACGCCAGGGTGATTTAAATTTATACATTCTCAGCCCCTGCACTTGAGAAAGTCCGTGTCTGAGCTCCCAACAGCTCACAAGAAACTCACAAGAAAGCACCTAATAACTGCATTAGGAGGTGTCCTGAACCAGAGAGCCTGGGTCTGAACCCCGGCTCTGCCACCGCTGACCTGGGGCGGACCGTTTCACCTGTCTGGGCCTTAGTGTCCTCACCCGTGAAACCAAGAGCACAACAGCGCTCACCTCACAAGGGTTACCGTGGAGGTCAAGGAAATCAATGACCGAAGGCTTGGAGCGATGCCTCACACAGAAAAAGCACCATACAAATAGCAGTTATTAGTGTTCTTCTATTTTATGACGAGTTCATCAGTGGAGAAGCCCGGGGAGCTGGAATGGGTTAGAGGAGGAGGAAGTCTTCCCCCAGGAAATGCTATTTGAAGCAGTGGCCTGGAGGGTGAGGGGGTTACTTGGGCCAACGGAGCTCTGGGCGGCTGAAGCAGAGTTTACGGGCCAGGGAGAGGGTGTGCAGACACCTCAGGGAGGACCTGAGCACCAGGCTGGGCTGAGGAGCTCTGCCTCTGTCCTGATGGCAGCGGGAAGCCACGGTCAAGTTTAGAGCAGGGAGGGGAACAAAGTCAGAAGTGAGTGGAAGAATGATTTTTCTGGAACCCATGTGAAGGGGGAGGGACGAGACAAAGAAGGCTCAGGCGGAGGGTGGATGGTACTCCAGGCTGGACAAGGCTTGGGCTGGGGTCAGAAATGGAGGGGGAAAGGTGGGTTTGAATAGTAGTAATAAGGAGGAGACATTTGAGGTGCATCTTGAGGGGTGAGTAGCAGGTCTTCAGGCAAAGAAGGAGAGGAAGGAATTCAAGGTGGACAGAATAGCATAACAACATGTGCAAAGGCCCTGTGGCAGGACTGAACTAGGCTCCTTCAGGCAAGGCATCAGCTGGAGCCAATCTAAGCCAAGTAATTCCTGGCTTAGATTTTGTCCTGTGGGTGACAGCCAGACATGGAAAGAGTTTGCAACAGCAGAGGGGCAAGGGCAGAGGCAAGTGTGGGTGTCAGGAATACTACCCTGGGGGGCTGATCTTGAAGAGGGGGCTAGCCAGATGGCCAGAAGGCCGATCTGATGGTCCAGGAGGGAGAGGCAGGTCACAGCAGAGATTCAGAAGGTAGCAGGGATCAGAGCTGGGGACCAAGTGGACGTGAGTGGAAATCCTTCTGCAAGACCAGGACAGCAGCACCAGCTGGGAGTGACTGATGACAGTGACACTACTTCTCTTCTTGGTCCCCACAGATAACCTGCACCACAACTACCTGCACCTCAACGTCAACAGCCCCAAGCACCATGCCACCACGATGGGTACGGACTAGGGCTGGGCTGTGGGGAGGACAAGGCTCCTTTCCTTCCCTGCCTTGTATTGAGCCTGAGCTGGGGGCCCAGGACAGAGCAGGCATGAGACTCTGTGAGCCCTGACCCCCCAGTCTAGCCAGGTAACCAAGCTAGCCTCAGCTTCCCAGTTTGAACACCAGAAGTGGTCATCCCCCTCACACCTGGGTTGGTGGGAAGATGAACGGAGTGGACTGCCCCTCCAGCCTGGGGCCAGGCACACAGCAGGTGCTGAGCAAGAGCTAGCTGCCGCTCTTCTTGTGACATGACCTGCTGCCCCAGCAACGAGCCTGTCTCCTGAGGTGGGGGAATGAATACAGGGGTCCTGGACTGCTGGTGCTCTGAGGGGCTGGAGTCCCTGGTTCCCACTCCCTAAGGGGCTGGGGGCTGGAACTGCTGGGTCTGAGGGAGGAGGGGCTGGGCTCACCCCTGCCATGCCCCTCTGCCCCAGATTGGCGTGCCGTTCCACCACCCAGCCCCTCCTTGCACTACTCCACGCTCTCCTGCTCACGGTCCTTCCACAACCTCTCGCATCTGCCCCCGTCTTATGAGGCTGCTGTAAAGTCTGAACTCAACCGCTACTCCTCCCTCAAGAGACTGGGTGAGTCCCAGGAAGGGGAGGGGCACAGGCAATGGGGTGGGGTGAAGAGCCAGGGCCTGGGTTCAGGATGGTGGAGAGTGGCCCAATTGACACTGAGGGTGTTTTGTTTTGTTTTTTTAATGTTATGTTAGTCACCATGTATCATTAGTTTTTGATGTAGTGATCCATGATTCATTGTTTTCGTAAAACACCCAGTGCTCCATGCAGTACATGCGCTCCTTAATACCCATCACCGGGCTAACCCATCCCCCCACCTCCCTCCCCTCTAAAACCCTCAGTTTGCTTCTCAGAGTCCATAGTCTCTCATGGTTCATCTCTCCCTCAGATTCCCCCCCTTCATTTTTCCCTTCTCTTAATGTGACACTGAAGGTGCTTTTTAAAAATGCAGATTCATGCTCTCTTAACATCTATTGTATTTATCAGGACCTGTATTTACAATTAGCAGAAATACAACTTAAGCAAAAAAAAAAAATTTTTTTTAAGGCAACTACATTAGCTGGATAATGGAAAGTCTCTGAATCATATGCTTCAGGTAGGGCTGGATCCAGGAGCTCAAAAGCTGTCTCCAGGATTCTGTATGTCTCAGCTCTGCTAAATGATGGGCTGGCTTCATTTTCAGACAGATCCTTCCTTAGTGGTGGCAAAGATTGACCTGAGGAATTTCAGGGTACCATTCTATCAGCAGAAAAGCGTCTTTACCAATGATTCCAGCAAAAATCCCAGGTCTGGAGCCTACTGGCCCAAACTGGGTCACATGCTTGTCCCTGAACCAATCACTGTGACTCCGGACATTTCTGGGTCAGTGGCAGTAGCCTTCAAACATTTTTAAATTGAGAGCCATATTAAGAAATGCTTTTTATATTATCACCCATGAGACATGTATATATGCATATTTTTTAATTACAGGAAAAATGTGAAACTTGTTATTATGAACTTTTTCAAACATACCCAGCATTAGAGGAAATCGTAAAATGAATCCCCATGTTCACATTACTCAGCTTAAAATGAGCAACATTTTGTTAATCTATACTCCCTTCACCCCAGTTTTTGGTGGATTATTTTTTTTTTACTTTTTTTTAAATTTTATTTTATGTTATGTTAATCACCATACATTACATCATTAGTTTTTTTTTTTAAGATTTTTATTCATTTTTTGACAGAGAGACAGACAGCAAGAGAACACAAGCAGGGGGAGTCGGAGAGGGAGAAGCAGGCTTCCCTGCTGAGCAAGGAGCCCGATGTGGGGCTCGATCCCAGGACCCTGGGATCATGACCTGAGCCGAAGGCAGACGCTGAACGACTGAGCCCCCCAGGCGCCCTACATCATTAGTTTTTGATGTAGTGTTCCATGATTCATTGTTTGCATATAACACCCAAGTGCTCCCTTCAATATGTGCCCTCTCTAATACCCATCACCAGGCTAACCCACCCCCCACCCGTTTTTACTTTTTTTTGAAGACTGATCTATTTTGAGACAGAGAGGGAGAGTGGGGAGGAGCAGAGGGAGAGAGAATCTCAGGCCAACTCCGAGCTCAGTGCGGAGCCGACACGGGCGGCACTCAATCCCACAAGCCTGAAATCAGGATCCGAGTGGAAACCAAGAGCCAGACGCTCAACCCACTGTGCCACTCAGGCACCTCTTTGCTGGATGATTTTAAAACAAACCCTAGATATTGTCACTGCATCCATTAACATTTCCGCAACACAAATTAACTGAAATAAAAACTTTATGAACTGGTCCTCACACTTGTTCCCCTATTATGTGGATGCTTTCTTTTATTTTTTTTTTTAAGATTTTATTTATTTGACAGAGAGAGAGAGAGCACAAGCAGAGGGAGCACCAGAGGGAGAGGGAGAAACAGGCTCACTACTGAGCAAGGAGCCCAGTGGGGGACTCAATCCCAGGACCTCAGGATCGTGACCTGAACCAAAGGCAGTCGCTCAGTCGGTTGACTGAGCTACCCAGGCACCCTTAGATACTTTCTTTTTTATATAACTTTTAAAAATCTTTTTCCCCACCACCTCCCTTAATCTTTTTTTTTAATTGATTTTTTTTTAAGTAATATCTGCACCCAATATGGGGCTCAACTCAGGACCCGGAGATGAAGATGGGGATGCTTTACCAACTGAGCCAGCCAGGCGCTCCTGTGTGGATGCTTTCTGATAATTTTTTATTCTATTTCATTTTCAAAATGCCAGTCACCATCCACAAAACTGACTTCATAACCCATGAATAGGTCACATCTCCAAGCTTGGGGGAAAAAAAAAAAGGAAGTCGCCCCACATCTACCGGCCTACCATCGTGTGTGGCCTAGGAATCTGCATTTTGGTCACATAGCTAGCCTGACTGTTTTGACAGATTGCAATGTGGGACTCACCCACCTGTTCCCAGGCTAATGACCAGGGCATTCTGGTGATGTCTGGGGTCCTCGTGGGGGTGGGATGTACCGAGGCCAGGGGATGGGGGAGGTTCTGGGCTGGCTGAGGACTTACCTCTATGGCTTTTCCCCCCTTCCCCCAGCTGAGAAGGATCTGGACGAGGCCTACCTGAAGCGCAGGCACCTGGCGGAGATGCCCCGCGGGACGCTGCCCCTGCATGCCCTTCGGCGACCCGGCACGGGGGGCGGCTACCGCATGGATGCCTGGGGCGGCCCTGAGGAGCTGGGCCTGGCGCCCGCGCCCAACCCGCGGCGGGTCATGTCCCAGGAGCACCTGCTGGGCGACGGAGGCCGGTCGCGCTATGAATTCACCCTGCCGCGCGCGCGCCTTGTGTCGCAAGAGCACCTGCTCCTGTCGTCGCCCGAGGCCCTGCGCCAGAGCCGGGAGCACCTGCTGTCGCCCCCGCGCAGCCCCGCGCTGCCCCCGGAGCCTGCCGCCCGCGCGGGCCTGGCCGCGTCCCATTCCAACTTGCTGCTAGGACCCGGGGGCCCCCCCACGCCGCTGCACGGGCTGCCCCCCCCGCCCGGCCTGCACGCGCACCACCACCACGGCCTGCACGGCTCCCCGCAGCCTGCCTGGATGTCGGACGCCGGCGGGGGAGGGGGCACGCTGGCACGCAGGCCACCCTTCCAGCGCCAGGGCACGTTGGAGCAACTGCAGTTCATCCCCGGCCATCACCTGCCCCAACACCTGCGCACCGCCAGCAAGAATGAGGTGACGGTCTGAGGCCAGGCCCGGGGCCTTGGGGGCTGCGGCCTCGCCGGGCCCCATCCCAGCCTGGATCCCCCAACACACTCTAGGGGCCTGGGACCCAGGATCAGCCTGTGGGCAGGGGGCTGCCTCCAAGGACACTGCTTTGGATGAAATCGTCACCGGAGACAAAACCTCCTTCTGGGATGTCATGGTAGATCAGACCCCTCCTATGTCACTGTTTGAGGCAAGGCCTCTTTCCCATGACGTTATCACAGAGGAAGAGCCCTGCCTGTGAGGTCATCACTAGTGAAAATGTCTGTGTTCTGTGATGTCATCACAGGGACAAAACTTTCTTCCCAAGAATCCATCACAGAGGAATAGGCCCGCCCCTGAGGTCATCGCTAGAGGCCATGTCTCTGTTCCACGAAGTCATCACAGACTTTCTCCCTGTGATGTCACAGCAGAGACAATGCCTTGTCCTATGACATCATCCCTAGAGACAAAGATTCCTTCCTGTGAATGTCACTGCAGAGATACATCTCACTCTGATGATGTCATGTCTGGTACCAAAAGGCCTCTTTTGACATCATCACCACCAGGAAAATGTTTTCTTCCAGAGAAGATGTCTCTGTCTATGATGTTGTCACTACAGACAAAGCCATCTTCCTGGGACACAGTGCAGGGGAAAGGTCTTGCCAACTGTGTCCTCCCTATACGTAGGACCTTTCCACAACACTGTCACAGGGACTTTGCCTCCTTCCTGTGATGCCATCTCCAGAGAAGGTGCCTTGCCCTATGACATGATCAGAGGGACTGTGCCTCTTCCCATGATATCATCACCAGGGATGACAGCCCGCTTCTGTGATCTCACCTCTGGACTCTGCCTGTCCTGGGGTGATGCTCTAAGACACCTCCATGCCAGGTCATGAGAAGACAGGGCATGCCCCAAATCCATGGCAACCCTGGGGTCACCAGAGAAAGTGCTCTGACCTGAGTTGTCTGAGGAAATGTCATCACTGGGGAGGCAACCCCAACTGCAGAGGTCTCCATCAGGATGAATGGTCTGACTGTAGGTTGTTAGCAATGGGCCCCCACTGAGGTTCTGTCCCAATGCTGTGATGTCATCACCAGAGACACTGCCTGCTCTGGAGGGCCATCACTTGTGATGATGTCACCAGAGTTTCTGCCTTGTCCTGCCATGACTTTACTTGGTCACTCCTTTCCCTGACACCAGGGACATGCTCTGCAGGATCTTCACCAGACCCTCCCTCTAAAGGGTGGTTGGGCCTCAGATCCCACCCTGTGTCACCTCCTGTGTGACTCCTGGAGGACAGGACTCCCAGACTGGCTTCTGCTCCCAAGGAGGTCACTCTGGCCCACCAGCCTCCCAGAGTCCTGGGACTCATAGTGGCCCAAAGGCTGGTGTCACGTCTTTCTGCCATAACTAGAGACATCGTCGCCTCTGTCAACAAACTCCTGGCTTCCTGTTGGGGGTGAGGTGGGAGGGGGTTGGTTGGGGTGTGCCCACTATTAATTTTGCTGATGATATCATCAGTACCATAAGACTTCCACCACTCATGATGGCATTGTACCTGGGGTCAAAGGCTAACCATGCCTGACGATGACATCATTTCCCAGGATTCCCTATGACCTATGGTGTCTTCATCTCCCAGGATCTACCACAACCATTGTATCATCATCATCTCCTAGGATCCACCATGACATATTATGTCATTACCTTCCAGAATCCTCTATGGCTGATGGTAACATCCTCTACCAGGATCCACTAGTACTGATGATGCCACCATTTCCCATAGTCCCTGATAATTGTGGTGTCGTTACCTCCCAGGATCCACTTCAACCATGATGTCATCACCTCCCAGGAACCATGAGAACCAATGGGGTCATCACCTCCCAGGATCCACTTCAACCATGATGTCATCACCTCCCAGGATCCACCTCAACCATGGTGTCATCACCTCCCAGGATCCACTTCAACCATGGTGTCATCACCTCCCAGGATCCACTTCAACCATGGTGTCATCATCTACCAGGATCCACCATAACCATAGCATCATCATCTCCTAGGATCTATGACACCAAAATATGTCATGTACTAGGATCCACTTCAACCATGCATCATTATCTTCCAGGATCCGTCATCTTGAGTGTCAAATACTACAATGGCTGTATTTCAATTGTTTTCTGGGACCCCATGGCACCTATAACTGTTCCCTTAAGGGCAACTAGCACAATACACACCATTTCCCCATTCCTTCAAAAAGGGAATAGGTGGGGGCCCCTCCGATGACATCATCCTTAGCCCCTTCTTAATGATGTCACTGCCTCCCTCCTGACTTGGGCTGATGCCTGCACCAACCCCACCACAGACCCGGCCTTGGCCAGACTCCATCACCCCGTGGTGAGGGCATCCAGGCCCCTCCTAATAACTCAGCACCCTTCACCCGTCTCATCGGTGGCAGGTCAACACGCAAACTTTTATCATCATGGGGGGGGAGTGGGATGGGCTTCACAGTCCTCAGGTGACGTCACTGCCCCTGTGACCTGGGCCCCCACCCGAAACAGCACTCCACTGGCTCGGGCCAAACTCTCCTCAGAGACCCCACGGGCTGGGTGGACAGCTGCTGACCTCCCTGGGGCCTTCACTCAAGTCTTCTGCTGGCCTGGTCCTGGAGCAGGCACATCTGGAGGGCCACGGCCACTGCCAAGGCCATGGGGGGGGTTGCTCCGCATCATCTCAAGATGGTGGAGAAGCAGCATTCTCTCATCTCCCCCTCACACACCAGGGAGCCTCCAGGGGTTTTGGGGATTCCTCAATACCCAATGCACAATTTGCCCCAACTCTCTTTGTATATAGCCATGTTGCGGGGGGGCGGCCATTCCCCCACTCTTAAAGGGCTACATGCCCCCTCCCCAGCCCCCAAGGCAAGGTGAGGGGGTTCTTCTCCCTCCTCTGGGCCGTCCCCCTCCCTCTTTTGTCTCCCTCCAAATACTGGCACCTCAGCTCACCCCTTCTCGTCAGGAGCTTGGGGCAGATAATGCCCTCAGCTCCCAGCACCCAGTGGAACTGGGGAGCTACCCCAATCTCCCTGGGTCCCCGTGTCCATGCCTCTAGCTGCTCCTGTGGGCCCCCCCCAGTCCCATCCAGGGCCTCCCCAAGCCCAGCGCCCCTCAGGCAGACTGTGACTTCCCCCAGAAAGGAGCCAGCTTGAGCGCCTGCCCCCTTTCACACCCAGTTCCCTCTGCTCACCATCCCCCCTGAGCACTCAGCTTTCCCCAGCCGCCTGGAATGCAGGGGCTTGGGGCCTTTCAGCTTTCCTCCACCCCACCCCCCCCCGACTTGCTGCCTCCTGGCCTGGATTCCAGGTATCCCGTTCCCCTCCCCACACTCACTCTGCCACAGGCTGCCTGACCTTGGGGCCTTGACCTCTGATCTCAAATAAGCCATAGTGGGAAGAGGTCTCAAGAGGGTGAGGAAGTGGGCTTGTCCTGCCTAATCTCCCTCGAGGCTTCCAGAGCTGGGACCTCGCCATCTGAGTCTTCCGCCCCGATAAACCGGCACGCGCGGCGTACACACACACACACACGCACACACACGCGCGCACACACACACACACCCCGTTGTGGGGAGGGGTGGGGGAGGGCTGCAGAGAGAAGATAACCAGTTCTGGACCAGAAGACTCTCCACAGCTTCTTTATCCCTCTCTCTCCCTGCTCAACACCAAACTCTTCCCCCAGTCCCTTGGTGAGGACAGCGGCGGAGTGACAACCTGGTATTTTTTGGAATAAACAGATGTTTCCTGAGCCCAGGTCTCAAGGTTTACTATCGGGAAGAAATGGGCTTCCACCTCCGTGCTTCTGTCACTGGGGAGTCCCCTGCGTGGCCAAGGTGGGGGGCAGGCATCTAGGAGTCTTTATGGGTGGTCAGGGCTGCCCCCGACTCTGCCCCCAAGCCTGGAGTCAGGGATGGAGCGTGGCGCCTTTACGTCCTTGGCATCTTCCTAAGAAAAGAAAGCCTCTTCTCTCTGCAGTTCAGCATTTGTTTGCGCCTCCTTCTCTTCGCGTTCTCTGGCCGAGTCTCATCGCAGTGGGGGTGCTCTAGTAGTTTGCTGGGGCTGCCGTGACAAGCAGCCGGAGCAACAGCAATGGGCCACCTGCTGGTTCCTTCCGAGGCCAGTGGGAGAGCTGGTGCTGGGCCTCTTCCCCAGCTCTCTGCTCAGCTGCCACTGGTTGGTACCCTCCACATGCACATCACCTTCTCTCTGTCCTTCCTGTCTCTGTGTACAAATCCCCCCAAAGTTGATGAGGACACCAGTCCTGTTGGAACAGGGCCCACTCTCAGTGTCTTCTACACTCAATCATCTGCAAAGACCCTATTCCCAAGTAAGGTCACATTCACAGGTCCTGGAAGCGAGGACTTCCATAGCTCTTTGAGGGGGCATGATTCAAGCCAGAACGGGGCTGTGGCATGGCACTGTTCATTCAAATACCAGCTTTTATGAAAACCAGGAAGCATCTCCCCCAGGGCATTAAGATACTAGCATAGTGACGGTAAGAGCTGCCCTCCCCCCACCCCATCTTAGTGTCTTGACAGTAAACCAGTCAAGTTGTAAACCAGAGAGAGGAGATGCTTCCAAGGCTTGGCTTTATGGACTTTAGGACACCTCTCCCCTAGGGGCACCCAAGTGTTTGTTGAGAATTGTAGGCTTCTATCTTGCACTGAAGGGCTCATTTGCACATCCCTCTGGATGTGGGTTGTGCACGTTCATTTCAGTATTGACTTTATCATTAAGAAAACACCTTCCTGGGGTGCTTGGCTGGCTCAGTACGTGGAGCATGTGATTCCTGATTGTTTTGAGTTTGAGTCCCACATTGCGTGTAGAGATTACTTGAAAATAAAATCTTAAAATGAAAAAAGAAAAGAAAACCCTTTCCTCTCTCATGCATTTAAGTGTTTCCCAAATTTCAGATTTTACTCCATCAGGGTTCTCCAGAAAAACAGAGCCAATAGGGGGTGTGTGTGTGTGTGTGTGTGTGTGTGTGTGTGTACAGATTCATTTTAAGGAACTGCCTCATGACTGGGCGGGGGGGGGGCTGACAAATCCAAAGTCTGTAAGGCAGGTCGAGGAGCTGGAAATTCAGGCAGGCCTTCTATGTTACAGCCTTGAGACAAAATTCCTTCTTCTGTGAGTTACTTCAGTTTTTAGTCTTAAGGCCTTCAACTGATTGAATGAGGCCCACCATTTGAGCTAGAATCATCTCCTTTACTTGAAGTCAACTGATAAAATTAATCACATCTACAAGGGGCTCCTGGGTGGCCCAGTCAGTTAAGCATCAGACTTTCTTTTTTTTAAAGATTTTATTTATTTATTTGAGACAGAGAGAGAATGAGAGATAGAGAGCACGAGAGGGAAGAGGGTCAGAGGGAGAAGCAGACTCCCTGCTGAGCAGGGAGCCCGATGTGGGACTCGATCCCGGGACTCCAGGACCATGACCTGAGCTGAAGGCAGTCGCTTAACCAACTGAGCCAC